AAAAAAACAAAAACAAAAACAAAAACAAAAACAAAAAAAAACTAGATCTGAGTCTCTCACTCTCATTCCTCATCTATTTAACACAAAAACAAAAAGCAAAATTGTAATCTGCAATTAGTTTCATCATCATCATCAAAAAAAAAAAAAAAAAAAACTAAAAGAAGAAGAAGAATAATGAAAATGAATAGATAACCTTAACCACCACTATCACATTACTCGTACCAACTCGTATGACTTTTCTCATCCGCCGTCTTTCTCGTCTGTCTCCGGTGGCAACGCCACCATCTACACCTGCCTTCTAATAAAATTGATGAACTCCGACAGGAACTGATGAACCATTTCCTTCGCATCTTTCTAGATTGTCGTGCACAGATCTGTTAGATCGGAGATCGATCCACCGCCGTATCACGGCGGCAATAGTGGATTCACCACCGAGAGATGTACTGAAGCTTCAAACCCCTTCAATCTGAGATTTTTAGATCTGGCCATAGCGACGGATGTGTGTGGCCCTGCGGTGGTCAAATCTTTTCGGATCTAATAGGGCCACCAGTAGATAAGGAGTAAGAGTCGAAGCGGCGCTAAAGACGGAAATAGAGAGAGAGATGGTGTGACACCCCAATTATTTAATTAATTAAATTAAAAATAAATAGAAAGTAAAATAAAATAATAGGAATATATTTAATTTTATAATTATATGTGCTAAAATGTAATCCAATTTGAATTAAAAGGCATTGATTTTATCAAAACATAACCATATAATTAATATATTACTCGGGTCAAATCAAAAGCCTAACCATAAGACTATTATGTTATTAAGGGCCAAGGAAGAATTTAGAAAAAAGTGACAAATGACTTGGAAAATATCTAATGAAGGTATGAAGAAATGGTTTGGTTGGAGGCATTCCAGTACGCCACCTGTTGTGGATGCAATGATTAAAGAGAAAATTAGGATAGTTGAATCAGCGGGTTGGGTCGTATATATAAGGAGGGAATGAGGCTGTAGAAATGGAGAAAAAAACAAAACGAGGAAGTAAAGGAAATAGTAAGCAAAAAGAGCGAGTCGGGCAGCGTAGTCACATGTGGACTAGCTAGGGAGGTCACCTGTTTTTGGATTTTTATTTTTTATTTTTTATATATATGTGTATAAATAAAATTTTAATATTTAAAATAAAATTTTAAATATTAAGGATATTTTTAAATTTATGAAAACAATAGTCATTGTTTTATTGAAAATGAAGTTATTACAACAAATTATATTTTTATATATAAAAATTTTATGAAAAAATCTCAATATAAAAGTAATATCCATCATTATTGATATGCAAATATAATTAATCTTACTATATATATGTAAAAATTACTAGAGTGTTTGTTATATTTGCATGTAGAGTTCATCCTTCCTATGTTGTTTTATTATTAGTTGGTAATACCATATGTCAATAATGACGTAATATCACTATTATATGAAATTTTTACTCAAATTTTATAAAAATTTGATTTATCTTACAATTATATAATTTATTTTACGACTTAAATATATGACTTTTTTACATTATCCATGATATACTAATTACATGTAATACTTTCTTTTCGATTTTACTCGAAATTAATTGTAAACTTTTATATGAAATGCTTTTATAACAATTTATTTAATTTTTTGTACTTTATATTAATTCAAAAATTATTATTATCTTTTTATTGTTGGTTATGGAAAAAAAATAAAGCTATAATTAATAAGTGTCCCTCATGATTTAATTTTTTGACTCCGCCACTAGAGTCAGGAATGGGAATTAAAGTTAGGAATCAATATTGAGATGAGTTATATTATACTTTGAGTAGTCCTAAATTATTTTATTATTTTATAAGTTATTTTATGTAAATAATTTTTTTTAAAATTTTATTAATATTCAATTATGTTATTCTTTTTATGAGCCCTGTTTATTTAAAATTGAAACTCATGGGTATGATTGTTTAAATTTTAAAATTTATTTGACAATGAGTATATGATCATTTATTTTTATGAGTACCACCACGGAGGTCCTATACCTTAGGAGACTTAAATAACCATTGGCCTTCTGAATTGTCACTTTAGTGACTCTCTGATGGTCTCATACCTTGTGGGACTGAAATAACCATTGCCTCTCTGATTAGTTACTTCATGACCATCTGCCTGTCATAGATCCATTGATCCTCTGTTCTATTTTGTATCATAGTTGTGATTCTTTTACATATATGATTTTTGTATTATATGTTTGTTATTTCAAATAATTTATTCGAACCAAACTATTCATTATTTAGCCTAAATAATTATCTATGGTAATTTGTATACCCTTATGCTCTTAGTATAATATTTCTCACTTTGTCATGTGTTTATAGTTGTTAAAACCCTTTCTGGTGAAGAAACTTAAAGAAGAATGGTTTTACCTCATTAATCAGGACCCAGACTTGAGGTGAACATCGTGTTTTTCCCCCCCCTCTTGTGTTCATTTGTAATTATTATCTAACTTGTGTTACATTAATAATAATTCTCATGTACACTTTAGATATTTATCTATATCTTTTATTTCATTTCGTTGCATTATTTAATTTAGTTACTTCGAACTAATCTTAGAAATTATAGAATTCAACTAGTTGCGAATCCAATCCTAGGCACCGAGGTAGGTCGTGACAGATGGAGAAGGCAAGGCGGCATGGCGGAACCACAAGGAGCCCGATGGTGCTGATCTAACATTTTCGTCGCCGAAATGAGACGACGTCTTCGATTCGGATCTGTACATCGAAGCAGAACTCATCAACTAGGGTTTTGGGATTAGGAAGAAGAGAGAGAGATTAGGGTTCATTTCAATCGATTTGGTATGAGAGAAGGATGAGAGAGGGGAAAAAAGGGTAGAAAGAAAAAGATAGAGGCGAGAGAAAGAATGATCTTTGTCGAATGGGTTTCAACAGATTGTTTTAGGGTTAATTACAAAAAAAAAAAAAAACCCAGGGTTTTGCGTGTTTTTTAATTTAAATCTCAAATTTTCAATTTCGACAAATTAAACCCTAGAGTTTTATCTGTATTTCAATCTAGCCCCTCTATCTATCTCCTTCATATTAAACTAACGAAAATATGGGCAGAATTTCAGATTCAAATCCACGTGTTTAAACACTTGTATCTTCCTCGTCGTACTTCCGTTTTGTCTCATTTTTGCGTCATTGGATTCACCTCATGGCCTAGCTTTCATTATACTCTTTATACGCCTTGCTCCACATCTTCTTACTTGTTGTTGGAGTTCTAAAAGTTGGCCAAAACTAAGATTTTTCTCTCTTCTGACAAAATTTTCAAATTCAAATTCACATATTCAAGCACTTGTATCTCCCTCGTTGTAACTTCATTTTACCTTATTTTTGTGTCGTTAGATTCAACTCATTGCCTAATTTTTATTCCACCCCTCATATGTCTTGTTTCACCTATTTTTGTATGCCGTTGGATCTCTGAAAATTGGCCAAAAATAGGCTTTTTTTTGTTTTTTGTTCTTTTCTTTTCCTCTTCTTCTTCATTCTCTTTCGCAGCTCCTCTTAGCTTGTTGTTGTTGCTACTGTTGCTTCTTCATCATTATCTGCAAGATGAAGTGGTGGTGGTAATGGTGGCGGTGTCGTCGAATAGTGATAGGTATACAACTACACATAAAAATCAAAAATCAAATGGGTTGATAAGCATTTTAGGGTGCCTTGGTTTCCAATTAAGCATCATCTATTGCATCTCTACTGCCAAGAACAATGTTGCGATAGTAACAAGAAAAAACAAAAAAACAAGAGAGAGAGAGAGAGATCTTATTTTTGGCCAACTTTCAAAGTTCCGACGGCATACAAAAAGAGGTGAAACAAGGCATATGAGGGGTGAAATAAAAATTAGGTCATGAATTGAATCTAACGACATGAAAATGAGGTGAAATGGAGTTACGATGAGAGAGATACAAGTGGTTGAATATGTGAATTTGAAAATTTTGCCCAAAGAGAGAAAAATATTAGTTCCAACGGCAAGTAAAAAGATGTGGAACAAGGCGTACGAAGAATGGAATGAAAACTAGGCTATGAGGTGAATCCAACGACGCAAAAATGATGCGAAATAGAGTTACGAAAAGAGAGATACAAGTATTTAAACATGTAGGTTTGAATTTGAAATTCTGGTTAGATTTTAGATATTAGTTAGTTTAATATCGCAGAGTTGGATGGGGGTGTCAGATTGAAATATGTATGAAACTCTAAGGTTTAATTTGTCGAAATTGAAATTTTGAGATTTAAATTGAAAAATATGTAAAATTCTGAAATTTTTTTTGTAATTAACCCATTGTTTTATAAAGTTTGATCTACAACGGAAAAATGGGCAATTTGGTTATTTTTTAAAAGCTTGTCCTTATAAGCAGAGTAATTTAGCGTGTGACCTATGGACTGAAAAAATTCAAAATTGGACTATTAGACTGAACGTTTTTTTTTTTATTTTTTTAAATTGATTATTGAAAAGTATGAAAGAAACATTTCTAGTTTTTGTTTAAGATTATCCAATTTTAATTTGCAAAGCATTGTACCGATAATACCAGCCCCGGCCCTACGGGGAATAATTTTCGGGGAAAAACCTATTTATCGGGACGGGGCGGTCCGGGTCCCCGTCGGGCCGGGTTGATATTGCCATCCCTACGAGCAAATACAACAATTATTTAGCAAACCGACCCTAATGTAAATTAACCTCAAAGCCAATTGTTAAGATTCCCAAACAAGCCCTAATCCAAAGAACACCCTGCTCGCTGCCAAACAAGCCCTCAAATCCAAATGCAGAAAAGCACATTCCCAAATTCTCAATGCTATTCCCCTATTCCTACGTTTCACATCTCTGTCTCTCTTTCTTGATGACAATGGAGTCTATATGCGTTTCGAGATCTCTATAACAGTCTCTCAATTCGCTGAATTTCACAATATCTCCAAACCCTAATTCGTCATGGATCTCTCAACCCAGTACCAACAACAACAACAACAGCAACAACAAACCTATGGCCCATCTCAAGTTCAAACCTATGATCAATCGGCCCAAGCTTACTACCAATTCCATCAGTACAATCAATACCTTCAACAACAACAATACCCATATTACCCCCAAGATTACTCAAATGCTTATCAATCTCAGCAAGAACACACTTCGATTCACCCTCCTGGTGTTCCAATTGCGCCTGAATCAACACATGTATTGGGTTCGCAACAAGGGTTAGGGCAAACCCATGTTCAGAATCAGCCGATTCCGTATTACCCACAAGAGGTTGCGAAGCAGCAACCACAGCAAGTGTTGGATTCGTCGAATTTCGCTGTGAATAGTGGAGGGTTTGGACCGGTATGAGTTTTTGTTTGGTTTTTATTGCAATTTGGGAGATATGAATTGGGTTGTGGTTAAAAAGTATTGATTTATTTATTTATTTATTTATTATTAGTGATTTTGTTAGTTGGGTGTTATGAACATGGTACTTGTTTTTCTGTTTTTTGTTTGGGTATATCTACTCTGATCTGTTGTGTTTGTGTTTTATTGCTCATTCATTTTGTTAAAAGTTCAACATTTTTATTCATTCATACAAACAATCAAAAGTATATGCCTATATAATATATGCATATCTTTGGGTGTATGGTTGATGCTTTGATGTTTGTTTCTACCATATGTTTATGTGTTAATGGTTAGTTTAAGGGTTCGTGGGAATCTTTTCATGAGAAGTGCAAAAAGTAGAGAGAATGGGTTGACTTTTTGTATAATTATTATTATTATTATTATTATTATTATTATTATTATTTTGTGTGTGTGTGTGTGTGTGTGTGTGTGTGTGTGTGGATATTTTAGCCAATTGTCAAACATGGCCGTAGTGTATCATAGATCTGTGATTCCTGACTTCAGTAATTTGTGTTGCATCCATCTGGTAGATGCAAAGTGGATTGATATAAATGTTTGGACAAGAAAGGATAAACTTAGAAATTGAGACATTCATGAGATGGTAATTTGGTAAATGGTGGATGAAATGAGAGGAAATTGACTAAGATTGGATGATCCACTGAGGAAGAGTGACTAGTCTGTGGTCAAGGATGGTGTTGGGAAAAAGTGGATGACCAAAACTAACTTGTTTTGAAGATAGTTGGATGAAGATTTCTTTGTTAGAATTCAATTGAGGAATTAAACAAGATTCATGTACTCCATGCCAGTTTTTAGGATAAAGTTTAAACAACTTTTGGAACATGGATTTCATCATTTATGAGACTGTGACCACCAAAACTAAGATCTAAAACCTGATATAAAATGTATGAGGTATGTCACGATGTTATCTATTTGTTTTATTTGATTTTGTACTTACACTTTTATATACCTTTACTTGTGTTAATACCATGATCTAGCAGTTCAATTATATTCATTGGTGTATTATGTGTGCATTTGGGGGAAGTTTTAACCAGTTGTATCTTTAAAACATTTCTCTTTTCATTCTTTGGTGGCTAGAGAACTTTGATGATTGATGGTCTTGATAATGAAAGACAAACTTGTAATTTGGTTGTGTAGAAGGCTGTATTGATTGTGTTATAGATTTTTTTATCACTATTAGTTGGGGTATAATTTCTACTATACAACCTTCTTTTGATATTGTTCTTCTATTGGTTCAGTACTCTACCAATTTAATTTACTCTTGGGAAATTCATTTAATTGTTTGTTGGTTAATCAAAGCAGTGGCAGATGCTATGAGGGCCATTATGTTAATGCCACTGCCCAAGCTTGGGTCGTTTAGAGTTTGTTTCAAGCTTAGTCACTGGCCTGAATGAGCTGAGCTCGAGCAACCCTGTATTTGATGCTATAAGCTCAAGATTTTGGATGTACAAAAATGTGTCCAGTAGTTTATATAAAAGCTTTAGAGAGGAAAATCATGCATCAACTATGGTCCATGGAAGTTGTGGTTCCCTCTTCAAAGCTTCTATATAAGGAGTTGAGCAGAGGATATCTTTACTGAGCTAAGAAAAAGAAAATCTTTCGGATGACGTTAAATGACCAAGAGGTGTTATTAAATGAGCAGAGTGGAGCTGCGCATAAGCTCAATCCTAAGATCATATGATTGGCTGGAGCCCGGGCTCAGCTCAAACTGGCTTGAATATGCTTACATCTGAACCAAGCTTGGACAACCCATTATTTGGCTCATTAACCTCCATACTTAAAATTTCTTGTTTCCTTTGCAGAAGGTATGAAGATTTTGCGAGTGCCTGATGGTACAACATCTTTCTTAATTCCATAGAGTGAACCTTTTGTGCTTTCCCATGCTGGTAGGTGTTAGATTTTCGGCAAGTCTATCCATTCACCCTCACAAGTTGAGAGGCTTCTTTAACTTGACCGCAGAAGCTTAAAGCGACCATTTCAAGAGTAATTACGAACAGATCTTTCATTTCTGTTTATGAGGCAAATGTAGCAATAGCTATAGGTGCCTTGTGACATCGTGTCATCATTTTGTGGTAATAGATCTCTTCTGGTCGCTTTAGAGCTCTTGTGGGCATGCTGGCATCATATGCTGCTGCATTTTCCTATTTGCTTCCCAAATTTGTGTGGAAACAGGCTTGTTTACACTCATTTTTGGGTTTTGTAGCATATTTGTTTCACTGCTTAACTGTATGGCCTTGTACAGGTTTCATATGATGTGCTTTACTGTTGAGGGTGAAGTAAAATTTTTACTCTGATTAGTGTTTTGTTTTCTTGATATCATTTCTTACAAGAGTTCTTCTTTGAGCTAGGTCTTCTGTTTTCTACTTTGGGACTTAGGCAAGCAATGATTCTTTGTTCAGAGTTTTAACCGAGACTTCCATGCAAGTTGTAAACCTCTTACAGCTTCATGATGCTCGATATTTATGGATGGAGGTGGATGCATTTAGTATTTTGATGGAAATTATTGGTGGCCATACTCTTCAAATAGCAGTTTATTTTGATGGATTGGTAATACTAGTACCTAAGAAGTACGGACACGGATACTCGACAAACCGACATGTTAGTTTTAAAAAAATGTAGGACACGACGTTTGGGGGACACGCATAAAATTTATGGTTTTATATATTTAGTATGTCATATTTATTAATATTTCATTCAAGAATAATAAAAAAATGCAACATTACACTAATTCCTAAAGTTTGAAGGAGAATGGATTAATAGATATAAATTTATGTTGTTTTTTTTTTTTCATTGTATCATATAAATTATTTTGTTCAAACTTATAATGTATTTCGTGTGTGAAGAAGCAATGGACAATGGGCGTGTGTCCCCCAAGTGTCTGAAGCATGTACGATTCTAAAAAAATTCAAATTAATAATAATAATAATAATAGTGACACAGTTGGATCTGTGCCCAACAGAAGTCGGGAAGTGTCCGATGGATGTTGGTGTCGAACACGGACACGTCATGGACACACACCTTCTTATAAGTGTCCATACTTCATAGGGCAGTACAATCATTGGTTCTAATTTATGCACGGTGAAGCAGTGTTGTTCCTGTGAATCTACTGGTTGTTCTGTAGTACTTAGGTCTTCGTTCATTAAAGTGTTCATTATTAATGTTCTTGGATTATAGTTTATCTGTAACTGCAAAAACTTCTTTCTATCCTGTTTTGCTTGTAATCTCATTTAAATATAAAATAAAATGAAGGCATGTAAGCTTCTCAGTTTCCTGCAAAACTCCATCTCATTAGATTAGTTAATGGTAGGTGAGATATTTAAGATGTAAATGAAACATGTTAATGCGATGTTCCACAAAAATATTATTTGTTTATAACGAGTGATTCAATCCAGAGAAGTTGTTTCGATTTTAAACATGGTATTGCGTTGAACATGATAGAACTCTGGCACTTTTGGAAGCACAAATGAGAATGCTAATGAGTGTAAAATTTTTGGGAAGAAATTTAAAATTGTACACTTTTCTGGAACTGATCAAGCAGGCTGTCACAGCATGCTTCAATGTGCTTATATTGTTTTTTTCCATTTCTTGAATTTGTATGATTTTTTGCATATTTGGACCATTTGGCATGTTTTTTGTACGTGTGATTTGACCATGTTTTATTAATATTCACCTATGGCCAAAATAGTTTCCTTCTTTGGGCTTATCTTATGTTTCTTATGCTATTTATTTTCTATATGTATCAAATTCTATAATTTTATGGCTGATAAGATCGGTTTAATTGTGATAATTAGTCACTACCTCTTTTTAACATCACTAACATATAAATATATCTTCACAGGCTCTGTTTATACTCTTCTATGTTCCTTGCAACTGTGTTATCTGCTATTTATTGTCACAGTGGATGAATTTTATTTATTTTTATCTGAACAACTTCATCTCTTATTATTTTTATTAAAGGAACATTCCTATCTCAGTGGACCCAGGGGTTGGTGATGGTTCATATATTGGGTGAAAGTTGAACTTGTTCTTTAATTACACTTTTCATTTAAATCTTTAGGGTTGGAAAGTGAAAAATTTTAGACCGTAACACATGCTCTACTGTTGTTTAGATATTTTGTAATTACTTACCTGGTTACCCCTTATTGGACAACTTTGTAATTCATAAGATGAGAAACTAATGTTTAGACATTTTCCAAGTATGACAAATCCGTGACATCAACCATTTCCGATTGTGGTACAAATGCCTTTGATTGCTGTTCTATGATATGGACCCCGCATGCTGCAATTCAAATTGGTTACTTACCCTCCTTATGTTAGTTTTTTTTATCTTGTAAATGTCATTGAAATGTTTAGTACACATATATTCTTGAATGGTATTCTGCAGATTGGGCAAACTCCATATACAGGTGGAGGTAGAAGGGGTGGTAGACCATTTAGAGGGCGTGGCTCAGGTCTCACTTTTCGTGGTAGAGGACGGGGTAGGGGTCGTGGTGGGCCCTTTCCAGCACGAGCTAACAACCCATCAGCATTTGTGCAAGGAGAATCATCAGGTACCGGTCAGGCACCGTTTGCTGCAAATGCTACTCCAGTGTGGCCACCTCCACGTATGGCATGGTGTGAACTCTGTAGGGTTGATTGCAACACTCTTGACATTCTCGAACAGCATAAGAACGGTAAGAGACATAGAAAGAACTTGCAGGTATATGAAGAGTTACAGAAACTCAACAGCCTCCTTGTTGGGCAGAATGAGCAAACGACCGTTGCTGAAGTGAAACAAGAAGTTCCTATTCAGCCTGAGAAAGTCAAGGGAGCTGAGGATAAACAACCCCCACAAGATAATTTGGCTTCTGGAGCCGTTACTGAAAATAAAGTTGAGACTGAGCAGAAAAAAATTTCAGAGGAAGCAGCATCAACAGAAGGTCGAGGGCTTGGTTTCAAGCGTAAGATGAGAGGTGGGCGGGGTGGTAAGTGGATGAGAACTCATGAAGGGTCGAGAAGACCAGTTGAGCCTCCCAAACCCAAACAAGTCGTTCCCTTGGTATGTGAATTGTGCAATGTTAAGTGCGACTCGCAGGTGGTTTTTGAAAGTCATTTGACTGGTAAAAAGCATGTTGCGAACACAAAACGGTTTCAGGGCCACCAAGCTATGCTCGGACAAGCAGCACTTCAAGCGCTTTACCCGGCACTTCAGGCGCTTTATCCAGCGCTTCAAGCACTTTACCCACCTAACCCTGATGCTTCAACTTCCTTGGGTCCTCAATCTTATCAAGGTGTTCATGATTCTCAAGGCCTTTTTAATCAGTTGGCACCTTTGTTGTTTCCTCCTGGCCAAGCATCAGCACCTGGAGTGGTACCCACATCGGGTTCAGCTCAACTGTCCAATTCTGAGAGCCGGGATCATCAAGATCCCAAGCCTGAACAGTTACAAGTCGCATCAAAGGCTGGGAGTGAAGATGCTGCTATGGTGGAAGCCAAAAGTCAACAGAAACCCATCTCAGATTCTCAATAAAGCCTGAAGCTGAACCAGTTGCGAGTGCCAAGACTGAATTTGAAAATGGAACGTCAGAGTTTGAATTGGAGGATAATCTTTGCACTGATAACTTTATTATGGAGCTGAGCAAGTTCTTTCTGGCATAGCAACGGACAACCCTTGCAATTCCGGACTGTGAGAATGCTCATCGTTTTCATTCTTTTTTCTTTTCTTTTTTTTTTCCTGAATATATTTTGTAAGGATTTTCTTCAGTAATTAATATTGTTGACCATTTAGGTTATCACAATTCTTTTGGAATGTGGGGGTCTCTGAAATGTTTCTGGATTGTCTTATTTGGCATTTAAGTTCACCTTCTTGTGGAATTTTGTTTGCCTTTTGCATTGAATCTCTCTTTGATGGCCAAGAGGTTAAGCCATAAAACACCTTTTTCAGATCTTTGATGGCCACAAGGTTAAGCGACAGAAATGCGTTTTTCAGACCTTGGCAATTGAGAATGGAGGATGAAGTAATGCCAACTTCGTTCATCATATATTTTTCATAAATCATCAGCCTAGGTTCCCAATACAGGGAAGATTGAGCCATTCATAACCCCATAAGTTGCGTCTCAACTTCCTCAATAAATTCTGTCAGACAGTTGTTTTGCTCCACTGAAATCATACCAACACCTTAGTCAATCTGCATCGACCTTACTTGTTTCCTTTCCTACTTTTTCTTTTTTTTCTTTTTTTGGGCTTATTTTCCCTTTATCATGTTCATACATTTGATTGGTGGGTAAAAACTTCGCTGTTATGGTTTTCAGATTGACAATCGGTCTGTCGGTGTTGCAAGTCAAATAATGTATTTACAGGTAGTAGCAGCTCTAGTTGGAGGCCGGATTTTCTATCTGCATTCTCTACTGTCCCAAGTCAGCTTTCTATAACAAGATGGGCTCTTTGGCCTAATTGTCAGATGTGGCTTGGGATATACAGAGGATCTTGGTTTTGCCTAGAGGCTAGAGGATCTTGGTTTTGCCTAGAGGCTAGATTCTCTGTTCGAATTCTCAGTTGTCCCAAACTAACTCTTTATCAAAGAATGAGTCTTTTTTGTGTTGATCATGTGGTAGAAAGGTGATTTGAAATAGAAGTATGTGAAATCGAAAAAGAAATCCCTGCAGTATGGTTGTTTCATGCTTTGACTTGATAATTTGAGTTGATGAGATTGACAAGTTGTAACTACCCAAGAGAAGGGATAGTCATGTTGGTGATGTACCCATCCAATAGTAAGGAATTATGTCGAGCTATAAATCTTCCTTTTGTCCCCTCAAGGCAACCTGTGTTTTCTTGACTATTTTCTGATCATTTTCTTTTTGAAGTTAGACTGATTATGTAAACACTAAATCGAAATTTCACTTGTCAAATTTTATTGTAGAGAGACCATTTTTTCTGAAGAATTTGCCATGATATATTCAATCCATGCATAATATTATAAAAAATGGATATAAATTTCTACACTTACATGGACTGAAAAAAATAAAAATAATTTAGAAAATTTAAGATACACCATTAGTTAGACACACAACTACATGTTTTGTGAAAGACTAACTAGAGGTGTTACTGCTAACAAATATTAAAAGACTGATCAACCTCCTCACTGCCAACCTCTCTCAAAATACAATTTCAAACCATTATGAATAAAGTAAACAATAGAGATATATAAAGAGAAAATTTATGCAAATTATGTGGCAAATTTTGGTCTTCTCATTTCAAATCAAAGAATGTGTCAAAGTGGTCTATTATGTTAAAAATAATAGTAATTACATACAAACAAACAAACAAAAAAAATTATACATAATTTACATACAAAACAGCATAGTTGAATATTGAATGTGAACCTTCATGAAAATAGTGTTGCTATTGCCACCTCTTTATTTAATTTATTTATTTATATTTATTTAGACAACCCCCACTATTTGGACCCCACTCTCTAAGGCCTTGTTTGGCAAATGCTATTTTTTTGCTTTTTGGGCTAAAATTCACAAAATGACAAAATATACTAAAATAGCTAATAAGACAATGTCACATCAAACCCATAATCATTTCACTTTTTCTCTCACAAACATCACATCTAACTACAAAAAAATCTAATTATCTTTCTAAACACACAAATTTTAACTTACTAAAATAACTAAAAACTAAAATAGCCTACAAAAATAAAAACTTCCCAAACGCCCACTAAAATTGCTCCTAACCTATTTTTCTTTGAACCCCCATCATATTTCCAACTTTACCCCTTTCTTTGAACCTAGCCACCACCCACCACCAACCTCTGGTGGTTTGGCCGCCACCCTCACTACCCCACAGCTCCTTCCCGACCCTCTCCGCTCCGAGTCCCTCCCTAAGAAACATTCATAAGAAAAGCAAGCACAAGACATACACACAAAGGTAGAAGGAAAATTCACATAGCTACTAAATTGTTTTATGATAGTACCAAATAACTTCACATGTCATAAACAAAAGCAAACTAGGACAGCAGAAAACAAAAACAAAAACAAAAAACAAAAAAACCAAAGCACCAACCGCTTTCTATTTAGGGTTCAAGACCTTACTAGTTGCCTAAAGTAACTTCCAAGACTATTATATAGCAAACTCTTTGTCACACAAAACAAATTGCAAGAGAATTATCAGAACAGCTTGGACACCAAGCTGGTATGGTCTTTTATTCACTTGTGGAGAGAAATAGCTTTCGAGCTCCAAATACTGTTGCAAATCTTCTCTCCTTTCCTTCCACTGCAAACGCTGCCTACCTGCAAGTGGTCCGACAATAAGACCATCCATATTTTTAAGGATCCAAAACAATGAAGAAATATAATGTTGTTCCAATTGAATACGAGGGCATGTGACGTGTTTGTGTGTGTGTGTGTGAGAGAGAGAGAGAGAGAGAGATAATGTTAAGTATGGTGTAACAATAACTGTTTCCTATATATGTACCAAAGAAAATGTAATGTAAATATCTATGTCCTATTTTTCTCTGTTTTTCCATTGATACCCCAACATAAACTGTGCTATGATACCAGAAAACAAGTCCAGATGAGTCGACCTACTGGTTTTAGAAAAAAAAAGAAGAAAAAAATTTACAAACTACTGTGGGACTTTTTGATCGCAGTTAATGACAATTTACTGATTTTCTGTCTCGAGACCAACTTTTTGTACTTATTGAAGCTTGTTTGCTTGTCAATATGGTGGTCATTTTCGCATGCCAGACATCACTGAATTTTTTTTTCTTAATTTTTTCTAAGCACAAACATGTTGTCACCATTCTCCAGTCTGCAAATTAATGACATAAATACGATTGCTTTACACATCAAGAGTTCTATTGGAATACACTTAACAAAATTCTAAATCCCCTCTGGCTTGTGTTGTATCTTTTGTCATGAACGACAAAAAGAAAAAGAAAAAGAAAAAGAAAAAGAAAAGAGAAGTCATAATATCTACTTATATATTCTATACTGCACCCAACAGGATACTACAAATAAGGTACAACTTACGAGAAAATAAAAATCTTAATAGAGTTCTCAAATTTTCATATAAAATTTTCAAAGGTAAATTACACGGACCTCCCTCAAGTAATGGAGAAACTACAGCTAGCCCCACAGTTAAACCTTACAGGTGTTAATGGAGGTGATGAAATTATTACATTAGCCTTAGATATTTTGTATTTAAATATGTACTAATGTCAAATGACACAAAACCCTTCCTCTTACAGTTTGGGCCAAAATTCTATGGAATTTGTATTTCAAGATAATACAGTGTAATTAGTCCAAAACTATGAGCTAGCTGTAAAATTTTCATTACTCGGGAGAGATCAATGTAATTTTCCCAGATTCAAAAGTATAAACAAAAAGGACCTCATAGCCAATAAGCCAAAGTAAATGTTCATAGCTATGAAATGAAAGCATATTTATTTACCATGAAGCTAGGCCATTGGTGTGAAGATGTATCAACTGAGTGTCAAAATCATTGAAAGCTTTTGTCTCTCCCGTCTTCACATTGTAAGCCCCTATCAACCTTTCCTTCCAGTTACCAAACCTCCGAATAATGAAGATCAATAATTGGCCATTGTCCATCCAGCCAACAGGTATGAATGTCCGAAATGAAAATTTCTGTGTGTCTATTACTTCTCTAACTTTGTAAAGTTTATCCCATTCACTGCGATGCATGTCCTTCAGTATGCATACATGAATCTCTCTCTGATGGTTCACAAGGCAAGATAAACGATGCCCCAATTCAAGTAGCCAATAGGACTCCTCAACAAATTCATTCGGAACTTGAATGGAGTACGAAGATTCATCACAAAGGTCAATAGCATAAATTCCACTGCTCCTCTGGGACCAATACAACACCCCTCCAATAGTGACAGAAGTCTGTTCCACATAATCTAGGTTGTTTCCTGCTAATGGAGTTTCAAGTTTTCTCCACAACATATTTTTACCCACAGTTAACACGAGCCATCTATGTACTCCTCTCAAGCTTACACAATGGCATACCACCTTGTACTCCCCAGTGTGAGGAATGAACGCAATATGACAAGCGGGAAAAAGCTCATTTGCTGCAATAGGAAAAGGTAAGCTCTCATACTGCATTGTAACATAATTTCCGACATAAAGAAATTTCTGAGGATGTGAGCCACAAAAAAGTGACAAACCCCCACTACTAGAGACCATTTGTCCGGGAAAATAGCGATTAAGAGATGTCTCTTTGAATTCTCCACCTTTTAACTCAAGGAAATGGGCTGGATATGGCCTACAATACTTTTGGATGAACAAACCACCCTTCGATTGAAGGAGGTGTGCCTTGATAAAAGCAGGGTCGCGAATAATTTTAGCCCACGCCTTGCATACATACCTCCCACAGTCATGCAGAAACGCAGCAGGAAGCAAAATAAGGATGTGGAAGAACATGTCCTCCGAAAGAAATGGTCTGTCATTCTTCTGATTCTTACTTTGAGAGCAAGAAATCGTCCTATAATAATGTACAGAACAAAATAAAAATTAGAAAACTTTGAGAAGGCAAGTTAAGACAAAGAAATAAAGTTGTTCACACATCTATAAAAAAGAAAAAAAAAAAAAAATTATTCAGGTCTGGACTAGCATATCTTTGGCTCAAAATCAAATACAAAAGGAAGAGAACACATACAAATCAAAAAATTTAAACCAAGATTAAAAAAATAAATAATGGATATCGTTAGCGTGTGCCCTAAGTTAATAGGCTTAAACAATTTTACATTTTTTATTGCTCTCACTTTCATGCATAGTTGAAATTAAACCCAGCGCCTCCCCCCTTTAGGAGTAGTAAAAATTACCTTCATTTGAGGCCGGTATCACATCTTTCTATAGTTTCAAATCAAATTAATCTTCATCAACACAGTGTGAGAAATAATTAATGGAAAGATAAGAAAACTAACCAAACAAATTTGAAACTGATAAGAAGTATTGCCCAGCTCAAGGTCATATATTTATTTTCAAGAGATCTAATTTGAAAATTCAATTGCATCAAATGGCAACAAAAAGGGAATAAAAGAAACTAAATGAACTTACAAAAGTTTGATGAAACCATAATTTACCAAAGAGATAAAATGGGTTCCTGTCATCAATTTAGGTTTTCCATTGGAATAGAAACAGCTTCTGACAGAATTTTCAGCTTACAGTTTTAAAATACCATGCACTCTTCATATATATATAACAACGGTTCAATTTTTTCCTAGTAAAATCTCCAATATACTAGCCCCTAAATGGAGAGAACCATAGATATAGGCCTAAACCCTAAAATCTCAAAAATAAAAAATAAAAAATAAAAAATTCAACCATGTCATTCAACAACAAAATTAGCAAAAAGAAAAACAAATCAACTAAAAGGGATAATCACTAATAGTAAATCAGAAGCAATATGTGCATGTGTGTATGTGATGGAATAAAAGAGAATACATGATTCTTAGAAGGAAATCAAATCCCTCCTATCTTCCTCTTGAGCTAGGGTTTGATGATTTCAAACTTCTATTGTGAGTGCGTTGCTACCCAACTGAAACCTTCTTCCTTTTACCTACATATAGATTGAATTCAAATCCCTCGGACCTTCATAGGGTTTGAGGCTTGAGAATTGAGGAAGAAGTCATTGAAGAAAAGGGAAAGCGAGTTGGTGTGAAAGAGCATTTGGGGTGCGTTTTATTATCTTGCCAATTTTTCATCTTCACAAAGTAACCTTATTTTTTAGCATGAGTTGCCATTAATACCCTTGCTCGTGCTTTAAATTACAAAAATGAATACACAAAGACAAGGTGAAGTAAATGAAACAGGTCCGTAACGGAAAAGAAACCCGGAAAAGAAGCAGAATATGAGGAAAACGGCATAATCGGTTACAATGGTATGCCCCTAACAGAAGTGGAAAAGACCAATAACTCCGGATTGGAGTGGTCTTGACATAGAAATGGCTAATGACCTCACTAGGTAATACCCAAGTGTCATTTACAAAACGAAGGGAAAGAAAATTTAAGCCAACACCACCAGCCCTGATGTAAACTCCCATATGTTGAGGATTTAAGTTCTGATTAATGAAAAAACTTTACGAAGAGATTGAGTGGAGATTGATACACGAATTGAGGAAGATCATCAGAATTGCGTTAAGAGCAAATTTTGACCAGTTTAGTGTAAAACAAATTTTCTTTAAAAAAAATTAAAAAAAAATAATGATAGTACACGTCTTCAGCAGTTACGCTAGGAAAAAGTGCTGATTTTGAAGTGAGACAAAGCCTGACTAAAAAAATGGTGGGACAAAGAGAAACATTCACATAACAGACTGGTCAAAGGTCTAAAACTGATCATGTGCAGAAATAAAAATAATAATTAAGAAGCAAAGCCAAAAACAAGATATAAATTCAAGTTAGAAGATTATACCAATACAGGAAAATCGAAAAGTTATCCATGGTACTAGGCAACTTCCATCAGAAAAGGAAAAGTTGATGCAATCTATAATGGATGAAACTAAAAAATGGAAGTAAAAAGAAATGAGAAATGAATTTAAAGTGGCTTTAGATTCACAATAAATTTGTCAAAGTTCATAGAAGATCTTTACAACAACATTTTCTGTCTATTTTCGAGTGGAAAAGTATTAGAAGAAATCAGTGCATTAATCAGAAACAGAGAGGAGGAGAACATCCTAAACTCTTACAGTACAAGTCAAAACTAACTTTAGGGGAAGATACATTTTGTGAAGTTTTGAATTGGAAGAGCATCAAACATACCCAACGGATCAGGAAACAAATTGGGAAATGCATGGAAGATATTTATATATACATAATACATAAACAGATATAAACCAATTAGAATCACTATTCTATTTAACGCTAACAAATAAGTCTACACTAAGATGCAACCAGCAACTCCAAGGAGGAGAGGATTCCTACAGCTGCAAATTACAGGTCTATGATACAAGCACAATGAAGAAAATAAAAAGAATATCATTTCAGACAATTTTTTTTTTTAATATATATATCAGCATTTCAGACCTACAAAGCACGGACACGTGACACGACATGAACATGTGGACATGCAAATTTTCAAAAATGTTGGGCATGATACGTCAAGGACTCATGCAAAACATATAATTTTGTATAATTATTACATGTCACGTTTTTTTAATATTATATATTTATTCTATGTCAAATGTTTATTCTCATCAAATTCATCAACCTTGGTATGTTGCTTCACTCAAAATAATAATTTTAAATTAAAAATTTTAAAAATGGATCCCCAATATGTCCCTAGTGTGTCATAACGTGTCCCAAGTGTCCCTAGCTTGTCCGATTCCTTCCAGCGTATCCGACATGTGTCTAGAGCGTGTCCAACCATGTATGTGTCCAAAACGTGTCCGACACCGGTATGTGATCACCAGAAAGGTGTCCATGCTTCATAGTTATAGAAAATTATTATTATTTCAGAAATATGAATTTTTCTATTCAGGCCCATTCCTGAGCCAAAACACACCAAAGTGATCAGTTGTAATTGGCTATAGGTTTGTGGGTCACAAAACTGGGGCCAATCACAACCGGCCACCAACTTGGCTGGTTTCAGTCCAGGGTAAGCTTGATCATCATTTACCTCCAAATATTGCATATCAATTGTTGATCTAATAGAACACAAAAAGAAGAAACAAGAAGAATTAAACTCCATTCAAACAATCATTTTCTCATTAAAGAAACAAAGGAATTAACTCTCTTTTCTTCTTTACTTTATTCCCGGGCTATTTTGAGATGAATATTGATTATGATATAACCAAATATATTTTCATAAATTGGAAAGTAAAAGAGAGAACAGACAACAAAAGACCTCTACCACCAAAGTCTTAAAAAAAAAAAAAAAACCACAGTTAATTAAACAGGTATTTTTCAATTTTTAATTGTATTGCACCAATACCAATGTGTTTGAAGGTGGCATGTCTATGTCAAACACTGACACTTGTTGGACACTTCACAGCATGTGTCAGACACAGGTCCAAACATACCTTTTTGTTTTTTATATCTTTTCCCTTCACATTTCAAACACTTGGGAGACACGTGTCCATCCCTTAGACATACTTGGAAACTCATTATAAGTTTGAACAAAATAATTTGGTATCCAGTGATAAAAGAATAACAACATAGATTTATACCTATTAATTACTCTTCTTTTAAACTTTAGAAATTAGTGTTATCTTCTATTTTTCATGTCTTTAGATGAAATATTCATGATGACATATAATAAATATAAAAAGCCATACATTTTGTGCATGTTTACCACATGTCGTGTCCTGTATGTTTTAAAAATTGGCACTCTAGCTTGTATGTGTCATGTCGTGTGTACGTACCCATGTTTCTTAGGTTCAAAACTAAATTATCTAAGGTTATCAACTCAATTTAAATCGAACCCTACTAGCCTGGCATTAGATAAAAAGCCACTAAATGACACAAATGCAATACATCTTACCTTCTCAACAAAGTTTGTCTGTGTTTTCTAATTATAGGTTCAGTCTTCAACTTCAATCTTCTTCAAACTCAACTATAAAAAAGAACTATAGACTCAATAATTTGAAAGAAATTTCCAACGCAAGAATGAACAAGGGTTACACGACTCATTTTTCACCACACTATACTCTCACTCTTCTTCTCTCTTCTTCAATCTTTTTTTCATCCTTCTTCTCTCTTCTTCATACAAATCTTAATTACTAGTAAATGCGAATTACCAAACATGCTTTCTTGGTTAATGTGTAACTACACCTCTGACACACATACCATACGTGTAAAAGTGTCCAAAACGTTTGCTTCACACAATTGGAAGGTCACATAGCTATGCTTTTAGATTCTATGTTACTTACACTTTTTGAATAAGCAATGGCTTTACACACCTATGGCCATGTTTGATAACTTGCTTGGAGGCCTTCAACCCAGTTTGATAGAGATTAACAAAAATGTAGAACCACATGGAACCCATACATTTTTTGTAGTTCCCTAAACTTGTGTCTGTTTGGCAATAGGCTTGGGATTACTAGCCTGATGGGATTGCTAATCACCCAAAATGGTAGGTTTAGCGATCCACCGCCCCCATGGCATTGTTAATTTAAAAATAATTCTCCCCTCTTATCTCATCATCCTATTATAATCAAATATAGTACAAATATCCCCACTCTATTATTAATGCCATCCATCGTCCCATATTCGTGTCAAACCCACAAAACGTTTACCGATTATCAAACATGCATCGTCACGCGCATATATCTATCTTAACAAAAGGTTCATGTTTCCAATAAAATTTCAATTCCATTAATTTGGAGATTAGAAATCTATTGGGCCCCAATAAACAGAGTAAAAGAAAGTGAATTGTCCTCCTATGTTCTCAACAACCATTGAAGTCTTTCATCAAACATGTGATCTGCAAGACTCACATACACTTGTATAAAATTAACAAGAGATTTTAACTACACATATGTGGAGCACAAAAGACAAACAAGTAAAAAATAAACTTCTTAATGTGCAAAAAAAATACAAACAAATCAAGGGACTGAGAAAAAAACCCAAGAGAGAAAAAGAAGAAATCGAACCAATGTAGTGGGATTTTGGAAACAGAGTTTCCAAAAGCCTGAGCCAAATGGGGTCACCGAAAGTGGTTGTTTTGGGTTCATCAAAACTTTGCACAGCGATCATTTTTTCCGAGTGTCAATTGCCAAACCAAAACAGATGAAAACTGAAGCAGATTTCTAATCTTAAAGCTTGTTTCGGCTTTACTATCTATGTTTTTCCTCGAATTTCAATGCGTCGATGGAAAGATGTGTGGGTTTTGATTGGGCATTGTGGAATTAATGTACAGGGAGAGAATAAAATGGTAATATGTATTTTTTAATTAATATAGCATAAAAACATTAATATTCATTATAAAAAATTTTAATATAATAGTTTGTTTAGAAGAAAAATACTTTTTAATGAACTCAAGTTACTACCAAAAAAAAAAATTATAAAAATATTTGTAAATATTGGGTGATGGTGGCAGTGGGTGAAGGTGGAGGTGGTGACTGATCATGATGGTGTGGTGGTGGAGATGATAGTAGGATTGGTAATGTGATAATGGGATGTTTTGGGAAGTTGGTAAAAAGTTGACTTTTTGACTTTTTGGCTTTTTTGGTGGCTTTTTTGGCAAAAAGCTGGGTTGTTTTGGGTAAAAAAGATGGCTTTTTTTGCTAAAAAAGCTAAAAAGCCAAAAAGCTGGCTTTTTACCATTGTTCCCAAAAGAAGCCAATATTGGCAAGATTTTAGGTTAAAAAATATTTTTTAAAAGTAAATTTTGTTGACCATAGAAATGTTTTTCGTTCACTTCCGTTTTATGTTGTACCAAATATAAAAAATATGTTTTCTGCCTAAATAATGCGTAAATCGTAATAATTGAACTTAATTAATTTTCATCATTATTAATGACATCATAAATGTCTCTGTGTTATCTTCTATTTTTCATATCTTTAGATGAAATATTCATGATGACACATAATAAATATATAAAGCCATACATTTTGTGCTCGTTTGCCACATGGCATGTTGTTTTAAAAATTGGCGCTCTAGCTTGTATGTGTCATGTCGTGTGTACGTACCCATGTTTCTTAGGTTCAAAACTAAATTATCTAAGGTTATCAACTCAATTTAAATCGAACCCTACTAGCCTAGCATTAGATAAAAAGCCACTAAATGACGCAAATGCAATACATCTTACCTTCTCAACAAAGTCTGTCTGTGTTTTCTAATTATAGTTTTAGTCTTCAACTTCAATCTTCTCCAAACTCAACTATAAAAAAGAACTATAGACTCAATAATTTGAAAGAAATTTCCAACGCAAGAATGAACAAGGGGTAAAAAAAAAAAATACAAACAAA